CATTACAATTAGGAACAGTTTGCTTTAGTCAGGGATCAGGCCCAGTGATTTATCTACTGGGTGGGCTCGGTGGGCGCCGCCCACTCGAAAATATACAGCAGCCATTCGTCTACTGGGTGGGCCGAATGGGCGCCGCCCACCCGAAATTTCGACTCGCTCACTCGGAAAACGAAATCTAGATAAAACACTGATCAGGCCTAGACCAAATTGAGCGGAACTATGAATGAAATCTTTGAACAAAAGTTATCAGGACCCTCACTGGGATTTTAAACCAATCTGATGAGCTCTGCCTGCGCATCTCTAGTAGTGAAGGACCGGTTTACTTCAATCTTTATATGATTTTCTATTAGGATGTATGTGAGTTGTATATTTTAATTTCAAAGAAGTTTCCTCTTACAACCTTCTTTTTGTATTTTTGTTTGAAGTTCCTTATTTGGCATGCAAACCATTCGAACATTATCCTGAATCAAAAGTTTATCAATATTGTCAAGATTTTCAAGAATATAGAGATAAACAATTAAAAAATTCCTATAATAAAATTTATGAACAAACATATTTTCGTGGTAGTCATTATATTAAAAAATTTTTTAATTTTTTAATTGGTATAAAAGATTGGATTATGAATTTTTTGGATGATATTTATTATTCAATAAAAAAAACATATCATCGACAAGTTAATAAAGTTAAAGATCGTGTTGATGATGTTGTATCAACAACAAAAGATAATGCTAAAGAATATTGTGATGCTAGTTTAGAAAAAGTTAAAACTTTAGTTGATGAATTTAAACGTGAAAAAGATAAATTACTTGGTAGTCGACATGCATTAAAACCTGGACAAGAAAAAGAATTAGAAGGTGTAAGTAGAAAATTATTGACACAAAAAAAAAGCAATTTTTATTAAGAAAATTTGTTTTTTTAGCTTATTCGACAGTTACTTGATGAATATGCTGCTGATGAAACTGGTCAAGCGGATTATGCACTTGAAGCTAATGGTAAGAAAATAAAAACAAAAAAAACCAACGAAGAGAAAATGTTTCGTATTATTTTTTTTGTGTATCTTAGGTGGAAAAATTGTTGATACAAGATGTACTGAATATACTGATGAACCTCGACAAAATGTTGTGAAATTTCTTGGTATTCCGATAGTACATATGTCTAAACAACCAGACATAATGATAAAAGTTTGTTAATTTTGATGTTTGA